GAACCGCGGTTGACTACGTGGGAGTCCAGCGACATAGCCATTACGCTAACCGCTGGTTCCCAAGGGAGCAGCACCCTTAAAAGAATACCCTGGCAACTATGCAGGGCAGATGGGGGCACAGGTTACCTAAGGGGATGGTTTGGGGAGTACTGTGCTGCATCACATCACATTCTCTTTAGCATCCAGGTAGGAGAATTTGGTGCCTGGGCAGTGGCAGTGGCAATGAAAAAACAAGAGATGGATTTGAGAAATATGAATGATCTTCTGGATTATTTGTTTTCATCACTTACCAAAAATACTTCTTTCGAATATGGATGGACGTACTCATGTGTTTAGAATACTTGGGATAAAGCGCTGCCTAGACACCGGAGGCGAAGTAATAGGAAAGTCCATCAGTGGCCTGCAATCCTTTGCCTTGATGCTATGTCTAAATCCCCACAATTCATAAATGAGTCATTGCTTTGTTCAACTAATGTCGGTTGAATGCCTGTTATGAATGCGGCATTTTGCTGCTCAACATGAGGTTACTGCTCTTTTTAAAGACAAGAGAAATGCAAAATTACTGATGAAAATTTGGGACATGAAAAAAGCATGAAGAAGAATTATATAGATAAAATTTGCTATACGGCATGTGTGCTTGCCAGAAAGAGAGAGAGAGAAAGTGAGAAAGCACTCCCCAGAGGGGATGACCATGCCACAATCCCTTATCTTCCATTCTCCTCTCTGTTTTTCAAGCTGCTGGGTCTGGGATTAAACCACACTGTTGGCCTGGATCTAGCCACCTTCACCACCACATCACTTGGCTGACCTAAGAAAATAAATACTTTCAGTATACCGACCTTTATTAACATTTTTGATATACTTACCGCCAGTCTTTTCCCCATTTTTATATATTCATATACATTAATTTACATATACAAGAGGTCTTTAAAAAAACTCATGGAAAATGTATAATTATGAAAAGCTATGCATGGACTTCAAAATTATTTTGCATCAGAATGAAGTTGTATTTTAATTCTATTTTCCACACATTTTTAAAAGGATGATTTATTTAATTTGTATTTATTATTATTTCTTTAATTTGCTACAGGGCATGTGCATTCACCAGAGAGACAGAGAGAAAGAGAGAGAAAGTGAGAAAACAAGCCTCCAGGGCCAGGACTCAAACCACAGTAGGACATGCCCTAACCACCATACCACTTGCTGGCCCCATCTACAAATTTTAAAAGTATTCTCACTTAGGTATACAGTTGACCTTCTACATTTGTGGATTTAACTAACTGATGGTTGAAAATACTTGAAAAAAATCATTTAATAAAAAAAGAATACAAGGGGGGGCAGTGGGTGGCATGGTGGTTAAGGTTGACTCCAATGTGGGTGACTACAGTTGAAGGGCCAGACTTGGCAGCTTGACAATCTCACTGAATGTGTGTGCGTGCATGTCCAAATCCTGAGAGGAGAATGGAGAAGGGACTGTAGCGTGGCCATCCCCTGTGAAGGATTGATTCCTCATTTGCCCTCTTTCTGCTGCTCTCTGGCAAGTGCATGTGCCCTATGGTAAAAATCTTAAAAAAAAAAAAGCGTGTAATAACTATTTATAGAATATTTACATTGTATTAGGTTATAAGTAATCTAGAAATTATTAAATTGTACAGATGAGTATGAGTAGATTATATGCAAATAATATGCTATTTTATACTATTTTATATAAGGGACTTGAGCACCCTCAGACTTTGGTATCCACAGACAGGGGTACTAGAACTAATCCCCAGGATATTGAGGGATGACTAGATATCAAAATGTGTATGTGTAGTTTTATTTATTCCATTAGAATATTTTTGTAAAATAATTGTGCAACCCTGTAGCACAGTGGTTAAAGGAGCTGGATCCCACATGGCTGACTGTGGTTCAAATCACAGCCATAGTGACTTGAAAAACATGCCAGGTGCATGTGAGTGCATGCCCAAAATCCTGATGGGAAAAAGGAATAGAGGGAAAAGGATTGCAGTGTGACCACACCCCATTGGGGGTTCTTTCTTACTCTCTCTTTCTGGTGAGTGCATGTACCCTCTGGCAATAAAAGAAAAATCCATTGCATATAAAAAGAATAAGTGCATGTATTATTGTTTGTTTAAAGACAAAAGCTGCACTCAATCACCAGCCAGGTTAAGAAGAAATCATTTGACTTCTTTCCTTGTATCCTCCCTCTTTTCCTCCCTTCAGGTAGCCCAGAGTAGAAGGACTCTGTCTTCTTACCCTTGCTCATCTATATTAATTTTTAAATTATAGCAAGAGAGAAACATGCCTACCTTATCCAATTTGACACAGACACTGGAAGATGCCTTCACAAAGATTTTTGTCACTTATATGGATAACTGGCGCAGGAATACCACAGCTGAGCAAGAGGCACTCCAAGCCAGAGTGGACGCCGAGAACTTCTACTACGTCATCTTGTACCTCATGGTGATGATTGGCATGTTCTCGTTCATCATTGTGGCCATCCTGGTGAGCACAGTCAAATCCAAGAGACAAGAGCACTCCAATGACCCCTACCACCAATACATTGTGGAGGACTGGCAGGAGAAGTACAAAAGTCAAATTCTGAATCTAGAAGAATCGAAGGTCACTATCCTTGAGAATGTGGGTGCTGCAGGGTTCAAAATATCTCCTTGATGAGGGAGAAAGACACTAAATAACATCAGAGTTGAAGAGGCGCTGGCATAGCAAAGCAAACCCAGACTGTCATTGCTTGAAAAAAAGTGGGTTCATTTGCTCTTGAGAATGTTCGTGGAGATTACTTGGTTGGTCAACTAAAGCAGATGGCATTTCAGTCTCGGTGATTGATGCTTGCTTATCAGAGCAATGTATAGTGGTGAAGACCTCTTTTAGTTTCTGGGCAATATAAATGCCATTTTAATGAATGTCAGTTGTGCAAATAAAGCCAAATTTGAAGTAAAATGCCTGAGCAGTGGCCATGGAGACAGAAAGGAGAAAGCCACAAATTACTGAATCTTCAGTTTATAAATAACCCAGATGCATAATCCAGAAGCCGAAGTTCAAAGTCTACTACTTTCTTACTGGGTTGATGTGGTTGTATTTGTTTATTGATTCTTAAGTGAAGAGTATGAAGTGATAAATGAACAGAACCATGAAGTTACTTTACATTTATTGCTTTCCTGGACTTTAATTTCTTCAGAAGTTGTTTTAGAGCACGTTTCTGTTGCTAACAACTATATACCACATTGGGTAATGTATAAAGAATAGAGGCTTAGGAACCAGCAGATGGCATAGTGGTTACATCACTGGACTCCCACATAGTTGACCATGGTTTGAGTCTTGGACCCCGTGACTTAAACCTCATGCCGGGCATGTGTGCATGCATGCCTAAATCTCGAGAAGAGAATGGACGGAAGGAGCTCCATTCCCCCCCAGGGGGGGGATTTCTCACTTCCTGTCCCTCTATCTCTCTGGTGGGCACACACGTCCTATAGCAAAAATCTCTCTCTCAAAAAGAAAATAAAAAATAGAACAGACGTGTATCTAGCTTACGGCTTTGGAGGTCCAAGGAGCTGCATTTGGTGAGGGTCTTATTGTAGGAGTTCCGAGCCAGCACAGGGCATTACATGACAAGAGCTAGTGTTTGGTTATCTGTGTCTGTCGCATTCCCTCTTCTTTTAAACCCACTGGGGTTCAATCATGGGGGCCTCACCCTGATGACTTTATCTAATCCTAATAAAGTAGGGCTTCCCAAAGGCCCTACTTCATAATCCTGTACTTGGATTCACAATACGACTTAATTTCAACATGTGAATTGAGGGGGGGGGGCACATTCGAACCAAAACAGAAGTCTGAAGGCAGAACATTTCAAAGGGTAAATAATTCATACCAGAGAAATTGAATATTTAAGAACTTGCCAGTGCAACAGAAACATATTTTTAAATGTTTTATAAAAAATTAACCTTAGAAGTCATTGTTATTATTATTTGAAAAAAAAACAGTAAGAAGTTACAACATTGCTTTATAAACAACTTTTCTTTTCATTCAATTTTATTATCTTCTATTTCAATTATTTTCACTGATGTTTGAGGAGACTAAAGGCACAAAAAAGTATCAAAACCGCTGATGTTTGTTGAAAAGCTAGGCAGTAACTGCTTAATAATTGGCACTGGGCATACGGGATCTGTGTTTGGGGAAAAGATATTGAGTTTCATTTAGATAGGAGGAATAAATTCAAGAACTGTATTGTACAATGTGGTAACTGTAGTTCATAATAGTAAGTTGTATGAATATTTTAGAAAAATGCTAAAAGAATGATTGTTAAGTGTTCTCATGACAAAAATGATAATTATGTGAGTGCATATGCTAGTTGGCTAGATTTCAACATTCCACAATGTACATACACTTCAAAGTATCACATTGTTCACAATAAATACAATGTTATCTGTCAATTTAAATAAATAAATAAATTTAAAATTTCTGTGTTGGGCCAATCAGTGGCATGGTGGTTAAGGTGGTTGGAACCCACATGGCTGATTGTGTGGTTAGAATCCTGGACCCAGTAGCTTGAAAAAACATGGTGGGCACATGTGTGTACATGCCCAAAATCCCAGAAGGAGAAATGGAGGCAAAGGAATTGTGGTGCAGCCATCCCATTTGGGGGGTGCTTTCTCACTCCTCTCACTTACCCCCTGTACCCCGCCCCCATCTCTCTCCAGCAAGTGCACATACCGTATAGCAAACATCTTAAAAAATGTACTTAAAATTTTTTCGTATTGTGGGGGTGCATGATTTTATACAACATCAGAGGTAGAAGGCACCCTAGAGATTCTCCTATGTCTGCCATACTGCTTCATTTATAGAAGAGGCAGCTGCGGTCCACTAAGCTTAGATGGTTTTATTCACTAATTTAACCGGGCAATGTTGATCTACTTGGCTCACTGGCCTAGACCCTAGAAGTAGAGAGATGAACAAGACTCCCTGAGCTAGAGTAACTTACACTGTAGAAAGGGAGTCAGATATATAAACATCAGGATGCTAGAATGTGGCAAAGCATAGCCAAGTTCAATACAAGGAAAACAGAGCAGGGACAGGAGGACAGGTCAGCTCTGGCCCAGGTCTCCCGGCTCAGAGCAGCTGAGAGCAAGTGTCAGCTACTAAAGAGGTGTGTGGGCCTCGGCCTCACGTAGCTCCTGCCTCCCCTTTTCTCCTTCCTCTTCCTATCAGGGCACAGTGTTGGTTTACAGGGCCTTGGACCCTGGGGTACTCAGACAAAATCTTATAAAGGAGCTCTTTTTCAAAGCATGCTTGTAGGACTCTATACTGATCCAAGGTTTGTCTCTTTGAAGTTACAGTGAGCCGCATCCTGGTATCTGTCTCTTACGAACAGACTTGCAGTTATGCTAACAGAAGCATCAAATGCTGCATTAAGGCCAGTCATTGATATGTCAAGCAGAGATGCCGCAAGAATCATCTCCTTCCTCAGACTAGAAACCCAGACACGGTGTTACAGATAAAAATATCCAGCCCAGAGAGCCCAAGCTGCAATTGGACTTTGAATTCCAGTCTAAGATCTGGGATCTGGGGTTTCCACCAGGTAACAAAGACTCTCCCCTTGGCCAAACTAGCTCGACTCCTCTGAGCTCTCTTCTTGACACCAACCTTGGTCTATAAATACCACAGACTCTAGGAACAAATTATTTCCTCCACTTCTATATACTAAGACACTTGAACAAACTAGCATAGCTTCTTTTCTTTTTTAAAATAAAGACTTTTTTTGGTCACAAATAGGGCTTTTTATTTGTCACTATTAAAAGTCTGAATTTAAACAGATTCTTGGACTGGTGGTTCATATCCATCAGCTCATTCAACTTTGGTGCCCGTCTCATCCCCAGTAGCTTTTCCAGAGCTACTACCTTGACCATGAAGCTCCATGAGTTTTCCCAATCCAAACCTTGGCTTCTTCAGCATTTTGACTTTCCTGACGAAGACATCGTGGAGAGGGTAGATGGACTGGCAGGCCTTTTCTATGTCTTTTCCGATGCTGTCTGGAATCAGTTATTGACCACTTCTTTCAAGTCATTTGTCTGTACCTCCCGGAGGGGGGGAGGGGGA